TCACGTGCTCAGTGGAAAGGTAGTCTTCGGGACAGCCTCGGGTCCGACGGAGCGGGTCCCTTGGAGGGGTGAACGGTCCAAGGTGGCACCTTGGTGGGGCTGGGAAGCTGTCTCTGGCGGTCTCCTGCTGCAGAGGCTCAGGTCCTGGGCTGCTCAGGGCGTGAGACCTACCTGTGGAGCTGCCCCCACATGTCCTGGAACACACCCAATGTGGGGCCTGGGAGGACGCCAGTGTCATGTGCTCAGGTGGGCCTCAAAGATGTCGCTGCAAGCATCTGGGGTGATCTTTGCCGAGATAAATGTACTTCCCACTCCAGGGCCCCCCTGAAGCTGCTCCCAGACATCCCTGCCTCCCGAGTGTCCTGCGGGCAGCTGGCCCCGGGGGTGCAACATCCGGGGGAGCATCAAGGTGCCCTCCCCTCCCTTTTCATCCAAGTGTCACCCACATTGCCTTGGGGCAACAATGGCAGAGGGAGCGATCTAGAGCCTCCACCTCCCTGAGCCTTCCTTTCCAGCAGGAGGGCCTCCTCAGGCCACACTGCTGTTCTCTGGGGCTCCCTCCTCAAGGCCCATCCTTAGGGAAGTGGTTAGAAATGCACTGCTCTAAGCCCTCGACAGCTTGTGAATTTGGGTCCTGTCACAGCTGCCCCAGACAATAGATTTCAAGCATAAATGATGAATGTTTGAGCGGGTGACCACTAGTTGATTGGATGGGGATAGGGAGGAGGGTGTGGGGAGGGGTGGCTCTGTGTGGAAAACTAATGAGCCTGCTGGGACACTGGGGTTGGAGCTGGCCCCCAGGCAGGAACTTTGCGGGGCGCCTTGATCGATCTGAGAATCAGGGCACCTGGGCTGGATTTGGGCACTTTCTACTCTGACTGCTGGGGCTTTCTTGCTGTTCCCCCAAATTAAACTGGTGGCTTTGGTGGCATGTCCCAGGCATGGCAGGGGCTCTCCTATTCTGGAGGGTAATCCCCCAGGCCCAGGGAGGCAGGCACAGTACGTGAGACCGAAGGAGGAGGCCCTAGAGGACTGAGACACCCACAGCGGGCCCTGACACCACCCACGCTGAGGACCCACGAGGAGCATCAGCTCCATGTGCATATGCGGACTGTCATCTGTGTGGATTCCATTGGGTCCCCTGTGTGCTGGGTGTGTGACTGTCCTTCTCTTCCCCACAGGTGCTCAGCCCCAGACCACTGCCTGGCCAGGTGAGTCTCCGATGACCTTCCTCGGGATGTCCCTCTACTCCCTGCCCACCTGCCCCCGTTCCCCCACTGTAGGGGAAACACAGCACTTTGCAGAACCCAGTGGGGACACATTATTTTCCCCTCCATCCCTGAGTCTCCCAGCCCCTACATGGCTTACCTGGCACAACCCTGTCATTACTTGTGGTCGGTTCTGGCAGATCACACATGGAATCTGGGCCTGGAGCTGGGCTCCTCAGTTTTGCTGCCTCAGTGGACCAATAATAGTCGGGAGAGTGATGATGGGTTTTGGGGCAACTCAGTCATTGAGGCACACAGCTTATCACCTTGCCATGGAAAAAACAGGTGCTGGTCTGCCAGGACCCAGCGGCTTCCCGGAGACCTGCCTCTACTAGGGTTTCAGCCTATGTCTGTGCTCAATCTGCAGCTGGCCTCTGGCCTGGGATAACACTGGAATTGACACTGAGGTGTCTCCATGTACCCTCTCAGCCTGGTGCCTTGTCTTCCCTGGGGACAGTCGGAGTTGCAGCTCATTCTTACTATGACCCTGTAGTGAGCAGGGATTCTGATCTCTATGAGGCAGGACTAGAGAAAAGGGCCAAATGTTTCCTGCTCTTCCGCTCTTTCATTTTCTGGGCTTTCCCAAGGCTGACGTTTATCATATAAAAGTGCACGGTCCGTGGTTTTCAGTAGACTTCCATAATTTTACAAGCAGCGCCAACGAGTAGTTGCAGAATTGTCCATCACACCCCGTCCGCTCCCCACAGCCATCACAAATCTGATTTCTGTGTCTATCAATTTCCCTATTCTGGTTATTTCCTGTGAATGAATTAGGATTTCCTTCTTTATGTCTGAATAATACTCTTTTGTACGGATGGACCACATTTTGTTTATCTGTTCATCTGTTGAAGGACATCTGAGTGTTTCCCCCGCTTCAGTAACTGTGACTAGTCCTCTTAGGAACATTCATGTACAATCGTTTTGTTTCAACAGTTGTTTCCAATTCTTTTGGGCACATACCTAGGCTGGAATTCTTGGGTCATATGATAATTCTTTCTCTAATTTACTGTGGGATAATCAAACTGCTTACCCACGCAGCTCCTCCATTTAATGTGCCCCCCACCCCCCAATGTATGAGGGCTCAGGTTGTACCACATCCTCGCCGACACTTGTTATTCTGTGCCTTTTTTCATCATCTTCATCCTTGTGGGTGTGAGGTGATGTCTCATTGTGCTTTTGATTTGCATTTCTCTACTGACTAATGTTGCTGGGTATCTTTTCATGTGCTGGTTGGCCACGTGTATATATTCTTTGGAGAACAGGGCCCTCCTTTTACAGAAATGAAGCCTGGGGGCCAGAGGGACCAGAGCATGCCCAGGGCCCTGGCCCAGCTCCCAGAATAGAGAGGGTAGGATCCAGGTGAGACTGAGGGACCACAATGCCTGGTCCAGTGGCATCTCTGACAAATCATGTTTTTCTAAGGGGGCCTACGTCTACTATTTTTCTTCCCTATTTTTTTTCCCACTTACAGGTAATAGGCACCTCTAAGGATGCAGAGCTAAGGATCAATGACAGTTACTCTTCCCCACTGTCCTGATATTCAGTAGGTCCATGGTTGGTTTCAGATTCTGGGTAAGCTTTGGATTTGAAAATGACTTGATGAAGTGCTCAGTGTAAAGGGAGCCTTCAGAGCAACCTTAGATCCAGTAGGGGTGAACTGCGAGGTGGCCCCTTGGAGGGGCTGGGAAGCTGTCTCTGGTGGTCTGCTCCTGCAGGGGCTCAGTCCATCCCAGTGGTCCCTGGGGATGCAGGCTGTGGGCTTTCCCTCTTCCCACCTCGATCCCAAGTCTGGGTTAGGCTACTGAATTGCTGGTGTTATGGGTCACCAATCAAAAACATGTACACTTCAGCCCACACCCAAGGGTTCTATAAAATAGCTTCTTGTGGATAAATGATGAACAAGCTTCAGTCAAGTCCTCTTGATGGCAAATACGACATGAAACTCAGAAGTCTTTCCCTGGAAGAATTCTGAATCTCACTGAGACCTCAAGACCTCTTCTTTCAGGAGACACAGAAGAGAGTGAAGTTTCCTGTCTCCTCCTGAGGTCTGATTCTGGTTTGGCCCTGAGGCTGGTGATAGGTATCAGGGCCGGGTGCAGGTCCTGTACTGAGGCTCCTGGCACGCCATGAGCGATGACAGCTGGGACATCAGTGACATCAACGTGGTCTGCAGGCAGCTGGGCTGTGGTTGGGCCACATCAGCCCCAGGAAGTGCCTGGTATGGTCAGGGCTCAGGGCCGATAGTCCTGGATGACCTGGGCTGCTCAGGGCATGAGGCCTCCCTGTGGAGCTGCCCCCACAGGGGCTGGAACAGCCACAACTGTGGGCACCAGGAGGATGCTGGTGTCATCTGCTCAGGTGTGCTTCCAAGGCTTTGGACCTCCGTGTTAGTGTGTGGTTTTCTCCAGGAAAGGGCTCTTCTTTGCCCTGAGCTCCTCTCACACTGAGCTTCCCTGAAAGATGTACAGTTTCCCTGATGGCATCAGCAATAGCCATCGGTGTCCAGAATTTCGTGAGTCTGAAGCAGCACTTTTCTCAGTGGCCCCTGAAGCAGACAAGGTGTAATGGACACTAAAGTTGTAAGAATGGATTCCAAAACATGTGTGTGTGTGTAGACTAACATCTGACGTTGACATTTAATATTCAGCTCTCCTGGACAAGTCCCAGATCACCCTTCTCCGGCCAGGGAGGGGTGGGCACTCAGCATCTCTCTCAGGATCCTGAAGGGTTCACTGCAGCACATCCTGGGCGCCCAGGCTGACCCTGTGTCCTCTTTCTTGCAGGTCCACAAATCGATCCTACCATCGGAGGTGCGTCCCTGCAGAACAACCCAGCAAGATTCCTCTCTGCAATCCCCCCCTCAGTTCCCAGAAGGAGAAGGAGGAGGGCAGGCCCCTCCTGGGGAGGGGTGTCCCTGGGAGGACTCTGGAATTTGTTTCCGTGACCAGCTGAGCTCCCAGGACCCTGGCTGTCACTCAGCTCTGCCTGGAGGGCCCCTCTGTTCTCCTGTCATCACCTGCTGCCTCTGCTCCTTAAGGGACCCTGTGGGGGAACAGGATTTGTTCCCCTGGTCATTTTGGATGACAATAACTATCCCAGTCATCCCGTGGAGCGCTGTGACCATGTTACTGACATGGCCAAATGGCACGCCTACAAATGATTGTCTGTTAAAGGATTCCCTCGCGTTGAGAGCAATCCCCAAAATGATCTTCATGGCACAGCGAACATATCTGGTGCCAAATATGTTGGGAAGTGCTGTGTACTCCAGCCCATTTGGACAGACACAGTGTAAGTGGGAAAGGTCAAGGCTCTGAGAAGTCCTGCAGTAAGAAAAGGATTTAGTTTCTCTATCGACCATGGAATTAAAAAATTATCCAACAATATCCTAACATTGCTTCATTTTCTTTCTAGATGTCCTGGGTCCATCAACTACCACCACAGAGAGTAAGTGTCACATTTTCCCTCCTGAGCTGTAGGGCACGGGTTTCTCATCCCCATGCTTGGCTGTCCGTGCAGTGGTGCCTACACCCGCAATGCCCACCTGTACCTGCACCCCCCGCCGCCGGCTTCCCCCGCACCCCGGCCCCCACCCAGGGCCAACACAGAGCTTGCACACGCTCAGCCTTCATGTCTCCCCTGTCCCCGAGAGGACTTTTGTTTTAATTAAGGAAATCTCCTTCCCCTTCTTTGAAGTGAATGTGGTAAGTGATTCTTAAAAGAATAGATTTCATGGTTTTTATTTCTTGGAGTATTTCCAAAGCTTTGGGAAGAAGAAGGAGGACAAAGAAAAAATTGATAATTTTACAAATAATCATGCTTTTACAAGGAATTTTAACTTCATGGTGTGGACAGAGTTCAATAGCTTTCCATTGCTCTTAAGAAATGCTGTGGCTACTTTTCCTCATCGCTAGGCTTCTCCTATCATCATTTCAGATAAATGACCCTCTGATGCAGACTGTTTTTATAAATAAATTTTGCATACCTCCTCAATGTTTTTAGAAAACAGAAATAGATTTGCTGGACTAAATTTCACAGAGTGAGACTGTACTTAATAAATACTAACTCTGATCATGTAAAGTATTTTTACTATTTGCTGTGTGTATGGTCCAACCGCCATCAGGAATGGTGGTAAAATCACTGAATGTTGGAAAAGAGGGATTCATCTCCTCACTCAGATATTAAATGTTCAATATTGAATTAATGATGTAATTACAGTTGTGACAGGGGCTTCACAGGGGAAGTTCAGGGTGTCAAGAAGGCCCCTGGGCATAGACTTTACCTGATCAGGGGATTCAGGGAAATTCTTCATGAAGGGACACTTATGGGAGGCTTCCAAGAGCAGTGAATTTTTTTTTGCAAAATGCCTTTCAGCCAGAAGGAGTGCCCTGAAGGTCTGGGCGGGAAGGAGCTGGGCTTCTTGAATGAGAGAGAGGC